AACTAATCTATCCTATGGCCATATGGTTTATGGTATTTCCACAGTCTTTATCATATTCTTATCAACAGGACACACAGGTAGAAAGGCAGAGAAAGGAGCCAGTATCTCCAGTGGGAGAAGCTACTGAGTTTCTAAGGACAGATGCAAGGCATTGACATGAAGAGTAAAAGGTCAAATGGGTTATGGATTTTTAGCTCACAGACAGAAGCAAATAACAGGACACAATTAAGACATCTGGGGAAAAGAACATACAGGCAATATGGAATTGGTGATGCTTTCACAGTATATATTCAGAGAAATAAAACTAACCTCAGTGTACTTACAGCAGTAACTGCAAATGATGTCATTGGAGAGCTGCCATAATAGACTCCAAAGATGTGTCAGCATTCAAATCTAACAAGCATGGAAAAGCCTAACCAGCAACAATGCTACCAAGAGCAAAGTGACCTGGTCTCACCCCACTGCTTGCCAGGTGTCTGCTAGGGGCTCACTGTATGGAGAACTGCAAATCCCAGGAGAAGTAAAAATGCATCTGTAAGGCACATCCCATGTCATGTTGTGTCATGGGAACACGTCTGAGAGTGACAGGAAGCCCCTGAGCAGCTCAATAGGTCCAAGAGATCTGGTGAGTCCCAAGCAACTTACAGAAAAACTGCCAGGAAAAAAATGTGTGCACTGCCACATCCTATTAACCTGCTTTCTGCTTTTTATCAGAACACAGCATTTTGTGTTTATTCCTTCATATAACTTCTAAAAAGTGAAGAAGGCATGACAGCATTAGAGGTGTTCAGGGAGCAGCACACACATCTCTATCAAATTATGCAGTTCACTGGTTCCTCCACATTAAATATTAATAGAATAAATAATGTCATTCAACAAAGACTTGAGCTACCTTGTACTTGCTGAATTCATAGCAGACTTACACAACTCCTCATCTGTATATAAGCATGGAAAAAAATAAAAAGATACAAGACATTCAAAGTCAGGCTGGACAAGGCTCTGGGCAACCTGATACAGCTTCAGATGTAGGAGAGTTGAACTAGATGGACTTTAAAGTCCTCTCCCAACTCAAACAATTCTATAGAACCCACGACTTGTTTAAAGGATTTAATATAGGATAGATATTTGCCTTTGGTGGTCATGAAGTCTTGGGTGGATATTTAAGGGTGATCTATGTTGCATAGCATCTGCTTTATTATGATTTGTTTAAACAGACTCAGATGGTGGCAAGAAGATTCTCTCTCAGAGCTGGAGACAAACAATTCAAAACCTCTTTGACCCTGGCATAGCCATAATGTTCACAAGAGTGACTGGAAATTGTCCTATTAAATCTTCAGTTTCACACCCACCTACCACTGACTGCCAAAAAGCAACCAGAGATAGTAATGTGTATTTAACAACTTAAAACCCAAGATAACTATACTAGGCTAAATCCCGTATTCACTACTCTTTACTACCCTTCCCCATACATGCATATTTAGGTAACAGACTTGCTTAAATACCTTTAAATAATTGAACATCTTTAATGTTCAGGCAACTCTAATTCTATTTTAAAGCCAAAGGTACATTTCCAGTCCTTCATAGAAACTTGTCAGCTTGTTCTGCCTGTACCCTGCATTACAGAAAGCCACAAGACCTTCTCCAATCAAATTAGTGTTTCCTGCATAAGTGAAATGCCACAGGTCCTTGTCACTCTCTTACTGAGGCTGTTCTGATGTAGACAAATTTTCCCCTAAGTCAGTATCTACATCTACAGCCCACTTAACTCAGCTAGGGTTATTTGGGTTAAATTTCAGCTTAGCATGCCAAGGTACAATGTAATGCTCAGGAAGCAATAGATTTCATGGGGACTGCACAAAGGATCTACTCATAGGGTAACGCTGAGCAAGGGCTTCATCCATGAAATTGTAATTTCTGCTTGCAAAAAATATTCTCCAGAGCACCACAATATAAATGCTGACCAATAACCACTAGATACAGACATATGGTAACCACATGTGATAATAAATCTCTCTTAATATGATGAAGTGCCAAATTCAAGGACTAATTAAAACAGCCTGAAGAACTGCTCCTAAATACATATATGTATATATAAATTTGTCCTAAGTCATTTCAGGTAATACATGCATAAATTTAAATGGCAGAATGACTAGAAGTCATCGGATTTTGTGTTGAGGGACATGGTTTAGTGAGTACTAATGGTGATAGGTGGATGGCTGAACTGGATGATCTTGAAGGTCTTTTCCAACCTTGGTGATTCTGTGATTCTGTGATTCTGTGACTGGGACAATGTTCAGAAAACAGGAAGGCAAAGTCATATATTTAAATTAATTCTACATAGATGTGGGAGTCTAAGTTGTGCCAGAGGAGGTTCAGGTTGGAAGTCAGGAAAAATTTATTCTCTGAGAGGCTGCCCAGGGAGTTTGAGTCTCTGTCCCTGGAGGAGCTCAAGAAACATTTGATGTGGTACTGAGGGCCATGGCTTAGTGGGGAAATATTAGTGGCAGGTACACAGTTGGACTGGATGATTTTGGAGGTTTTTTCTGACCTTGATTCTGTGATTCACTGTTTACAGAATGCACTTTGAGCAGTTAATTGAAATGAGATTTTTCTTTTTTTCAGATGAAAGGGGCAAATGATCCTGAATCAGTCACCATGTTTGTGCTGGTTAACGTGAGGTCCAAGGGAGCTACAGCATGTTCCTGAGCAGGGAAAAAAAATGGAGGAAGTGAAATGGACATGAGATAGACTTGAAGATGCATGGAAATCACTATGAAAGTGATGAAAGTCACTGTACTGTGGCTGGAAAAAATGAAGCACAGCGGGAAGGAAAGAAATAATCGAACTTTCATAATGAATCTGAAAGCACGTGTCCTCCGTTAAGAGCAATTCAACCAAAGAATCAAATTATGGACTATGAACTCTAATTTCTGTAGAAAAATACCTATTTCAAGACTACATAAGTTCTCAGTAACTATATAAATGTGAATTATAGCATCCATTGTTGAATATACATTTTCTGTATCTTCCAGGTACCAAACCCTATCACAAATAAGGAATAAATCCAGTAGTTAACTAATTTAGATCATTGATACTCCAGTTTTTCTGCAGTCTGTACATGACCTCAGACTTTCACTTAATCTCTCTGTACCTCAGCAAAAGAGAAAACTGTTCTATTTAAAGAGCAAAGTGAAAGATGACAAAACTTAAGCGCATGAATTTCCTGAACACAATAAAAACAAGCATTACATGATCCATGTAAGGGAGGAGAATTGTTGATAGAAATCAGATGTCAGAGCAACAGCGTACAACCTCTCCAATTCCTGTCAAAGTTCAAGTGTTGAACCAAAACAAATAATGAGCTGGAAATTCAGCCCATTTTTTGTGAACAGGAAATATAAGTAATTCTTTTTTTTAATAAAATAAGAGTAATTATGTGAAAGGTACTTTTAAATAGTTAAATACAGAAGTATCCTGATGATGCCTGATGAAATACACTTCTACCTACTTTGCTGGCTTTTTTTCTTTTTCTTTCTTTTTTTTTTGTAAGGCAACATGATAGATTATGTGTCAGTGACCACTGTGCAAAACACGTCAAATCCGTGTTTGTCACCAGAAATGGCTATATTGATTTTATTGAGTGTTTCAAGAGCAATGTGCTCTATTTGAAAATTAACACTACTAAAAATTAACATGCAGAATTTTCTCTATCCAAATGAAAATAAGCAAAAAAAAAAAAAAAAAAAAAAAAAAATTAAAAATATGTAATGCCTTTTGAGATAAAATATTAACAGTTCATTTATGTTAAAATCCTATTATTTTGTATCCTGCAATGAAAGCCATATTAAAACATCCTAATTCATCATCTATGGTCTCTCTGAACTGCTGGTTGCTTTTCCACACTGTTTTAATAACACAGACCAAATCAACTGGCAAAGTGATCCCTGGAGAAAAAAAGAAATCCACACAGAATACTATTATCATTAGCTTTCCAAAGCACTAGCAGAGCATAAGTGCAGATGTTGGAGTTTTCTCCCTTTTGGTGAGGAAAGTCAACAGTATTCTCAGTTTAGCATAACATTTCATCTGAGTCCTTACAATGAAGTCAATTTTCAACCCACTGGCCAGTTCAGCACTGAAGTTACAAAATGATTTCAGCATTTGCTTTAATGCTTTGATTTAATAGGGATTTCCAGTATCAGTATTTCCTCAACAATGCTGTGAATTTTCCCATTATCTCTATGCTGTAGCAAAACATAAAGTTATTCATCTCAGTCACAGTCTTCTACCATTAGCTGTACAGTCTAATTGTTTTCATCAAATTGCACATGGTAATAGGATTATTTTAAGGAAAGAAGACTTCAGCAAACAAAATAGTGAATTAAAAGAAGCAGGTGTAATAACATAGCAGATAAAATGAAAAAGACAATATCTGAAAACATTGCTGCTAACTTCTCGGTGCAGGAGTCTGAGAGAATAACTTCAACCTAAAAAAGTGACTGCTTTCCATAATAATCGACAGTGGAATGAACATTCTGCCATTTTTGGGGGATATAAATAAGTCTTAAAGACATAAATATTTCGGCTTTCAGTGCTCATTTCAGAACTGACAGCTACTGAAAAAAAAGGAAGAGAAATCATAAAGTTGCTAGTTGTGCATACACAGCTTTAAAGAACTAAAAAGAAGTGATTCTAATTTCATTTATATATGTATGTATGTATGTATAGATAGATAGATAGATAGATAGACAAAATTCACTTTGCACTTAATTTGCGAGAATTAGGATTTTCAGAGCATAAAAGTAGTTTGGAGTTCCACAGAGGAGATGGCATGATAAATATTTCCTGTAGAAGCACTTATGTGGAATTAAAAAGAAACAGTATCTTAAAAAGAAATAGTATCCCTTTGTTTTCTAATTTATTCCACCTTCCCCTTTTACTATAATTGCCTGATTTACCTTACAAGCTCTGATAAGGGATTCCAATTGTAATAGTCTTACCTCCAGAGGTTTTGTCTGTGCTCAGGAATTGGCCCAATGAGTATTTTCTCTTGCCTAAAAAATAAAAAACAAAAAAATTTTAAGTGGTGATTTCTGTTAAAGCACATAATTTTGGAGCAGAAAGGTTTGAGAATTTTTCAAAAATTTTGCTTTACATATGTCCTGAAATGACTTTGGAAATGTGAGTACAATAGCTATCTATAAACAATGCTGTTGTTTGCTAGATAGATTCTTCTGTAAAACTGATGCTCCACAGTGAAGACTGATACTCGAGTACAAGTGTAAGAGGAAAGGGAAACCAGGAATAATAAGAGCCAAGGTACACTACAAAAGCCATTGGTTAATAACAAAGTGCTTGTTAACACAGAATCATAGGCTTAGGTTGGGAGGGACCCTAAAGACTATCCAGGCCCAACCCCTGCAGTGGGCAGGAGTGCCACCCATCAGATAAGGCTGCCCAGGGTCCCACCCAACCTGGCCAAGCACCTCCAGGAATGGGGCATCACAGCTTCTGGACAAAACACACTCAAGCTGTGAGTGTCCTGCACATAGTAAATAGCAACATGCAGAAATCTAATGTGGGTTCAACTTGACAACTTAATCAAGGTTCACTGACTGAATTCGAACTGATACTATTTCAAGAATTCATGGAGTTGCAAATGATCAAGGCCTTGGAGACTATCAGACTGCGCTGGTCTTTTCCTCTAAGTAACTGCTTTCAGTTACTGTCTTTTATTATTATTTTTTAGTCTTTCTTTTCTGTCTGCAAGCATATTTCCATTCTATCCACATGCAGGTCTCATTCTGTAAGCACAAGAAGCTACATTTAAAAAAAAAATGGCAATTTGCCTTTCCTAGTACATGCCTGTAGAATACAGGAGGATGTGACCACTCAAGTAAGAATTTTATGAAATTATTCCTAAAATAACTGCATCAATAAGCAGAATGGTGGACCTCAACTGTTGATAGGATGTCCAAAACATGTGTGAGGTACCACTCAGGCACAGCCTGTTCATCCCAGCACTGACACCTGCAGCCCAGCACCCCTTTTTGCCAGTAGTAGCCGATATCATCTTGAAAATGGAAGGTCTGAAAAAGGTTTCAAGGCATAAAATAAATTCTTAATGATGTGACTCCCCTTAACAACTGCTGAAGGGTTAGATATTAGCTGAGCCAAGGTGGCACACACATCAGGATTGAAACAGCCATGACCCATTTGGATCAAATCTTAAAGAGCAAAGAGAACTGTGAACTAAGAACTGTGGCAAAGGAAGCAAAACTCAGCTGACAGTTTAATTTGTGCTAGCAAATCAGGTAGTACTTCTGTCTCATTTAAGGCTACTTCCAGAGAAGAAGAAAATCCACAGCTGTAACTGAAGTGACGCAGCAGTAACACACATCAGCTCTCTGTGGAAAACAGAACATTGTATTTGTCACAGTCTTATAGAAAGGTCAGCAGCTGAAAGCACACATTATTTCTCACTGGGTTTCCTCAATAGCCAGGTGAGTAAACAAAATGAATGTGAATTCCTGACTAGACAGCATCTGTTTCTTCAGATTTCTTCATTTTAACCCTTTTCTTCTGCTTTCCCCAATAAGCCCTTTGGCATCCAGGCTCCATAGAGCTGCACATGTCTTCCCCAGCCCGAACACACAACATGTTTTGCTGTCTCATTATTTACCAAGTCTGACTCAACCCACCTGAAGCTCTCTAATTCTGGCTGTATGCTATGAAGCAACAAAGGCCTCCAGCATGCTGAGACTGCATTTCACATGGAAAATGCAAAAGAACTGTTCATGAAATTCTGGAGATCAGAAAGTATACTCCATATATCTTCCTTTTTTTTTTTTTTTTTTATCCCCACCCTTTTTTAAAAATAGCATCCTGGATCTGATGCCGAGTGACAACTTTCAGTGATTGTGCAAATGTGTATCAGTGACAGCAACAAAAGGCTGCTTTAACTTCAAACTGTTCTGTGGATGAGCTTCCAGTCAAGCTGCCCAGGCACACTGAGACCAGCAGTGTCCATAGGATACTGGGTGTGGTAAAACAAAGCTCAAACTCCCTGATGAAAGAGCCCAGCAAGCTAAACCAAAGCAAAAAAGAGAGAACAGCCAGTATCCAGGGGTCACTAGCAGTGGAGGGATGAGAGAGGTGCAGTCCTAAAACACCATATTCTTATCTGTAGTATTTTCTTTAGTTTCTTAATTTGTGATCTTTTTTTTTTTTTTCCCCCTTTTGTCAGCCAAAACAACTATAGTGATTTTTTTAACCCTTAGAATATTTTCCTGTTTTAAAGAAGAGTGAGTATTAAGACAGAACCAGCTTAATTTATGACAGGGCTAGCATGAATTGAAGCCCACGATAGCTAAACTTGCAGACCTGTGTTCATATAGCACCATCAGGCCAAGAGAAGCAATGATTACACTGTTACCCTTATAGCTATCTTGATTTCCACTCCCTCAAGTAAAGTTTATTTTTATCAAACTAACTAGCACCTAATTATACAGAATAATGTGATTCTTCTCCATTCCTTATTGCTTTGTGAAGAGGAAACAAGAAGAAAATAGGATATTCAATCCCCATCCCAACCCACCCAGGAATTAAGAGTGCTTAGAGGGTCTGGCTAAAATGAGAGATGAACATGTTTGTTAGATGTAATAATGTATGCCCATATGGAAGGAATAGCTAAACTGTCTTTTCCTGTAAAAGAAACGAAACAGATTGCCCAGAAATAGGCAGCTCCCATTCCATTTACAGAGAGAAGCAAATGCCATCCAGATGGAAATTATCAAATGGATCTAATAGCTGTATTTTATTCCCATGTGATCTTTGTTCTACTTATCACTCATTATGCCAGGAAAATTATTTTCCCTATATCCCAAGTGCAGATAAGAATATTATTTATCATATGCTCACTCAAAATATTCTGTATTGAAGGGTTCCCTGATGAGATATTGACTTTTCCACACAAAAAGGAGAAGAGTGTCCTTCCCAATGGGAATTCATTTAATATCTGTGGATTCCCATTAAGTCCTACATGTGAATGAGGACTATGCTGTTCCTGTGGCACAGCAGCCAACTCTGCATCTTCCTAACACTAACGCCCAGTGTGACTAATTGTCTTTTCAGCACTCCTATTATCTTGCCAAGTTTTACAAAAGTTCAACTGCTTCACAAAGCTAAACAATCCTGAGATTCTTCATCTACTTTTATTTATATTCTCCCATGGGTAAGTATTTCAATCGGAAATTTGCACCGAATCAAAGCATAATTTAAAAATCGCCAAGAATCCACATCTTTGGTTGTATGTGATTATATATGGGCATGTTTATCAAATTCAGTAAATTAGGGTATGTTTTCAAAGGCGTGAGAGGAGTTAGTTAGAAACTAAAATATAAAGAGCATTAGATCTCAATATCAAATTCCTTCTTACAACTGTAAAAATTTCTATAACAATGTGGCAAAAAGTCATATTTGTGTAAGCATATGCCCTCATAAATATCTGATTGTATTTATGGATGCTTATTTCTTGTCTTGTTGAGTGATATATGCTCTGGATATATACTTTATTCCAGCATGAATTGCTTTTAGCTTGAAAACCTCCAGCAGCATAGGTACCTTCTTTTATGAGGATATAAATTTTAACAGCTGTGGCTGACTGACAGGATTAAATAAAGAACATCTAATCTATCTGGGCCATGTAACACTGTCTTTTCTTTCACGTTAATTATTGAACATGAGTTCAGTTTGTGTCACAGGCTATCAAGCAGGTCTATAATTGAAGCAATAAATTAGAAGTTGATTTTTTAATGGTGTGGTCCTAAACAGATAATGCTGTGTTCAGCTGCAGCAGTCCCCAAAATACCAAGGATCCTACATCTTTAGAAATCACAAGAACAGTATTGAGAGGGTGAAAATGAACATGGTAACCGTACACCATCCAGGGCCTGGGGTCTCTGTGATCGATGTTTTAATCTCTTTCAGAATATAGATGATGGATGGATGGGTGGGTGGATGTCAGCTCTGCAGTGTCTGGGAATATAATGGCACTGATTTTACATTGGGTTCCCAATGTAAAACACACAGATGGAATATAGTTCTGATGATTCAAAGAACAGAGTGGCAAGCAGATTCAGACTTGCTACAGATTCAAATTTACTATGACAATATGACTTGATAATCAGTCCCAAACCAATCATTTGGAAGCAGGAGGAAGCCCCTAACATTAACCAGCCAGAAAATCCAGGAGAGATGTATTGCTACGACTTCTGAATAACTGAGAGCTCAAAGGTAGTAATTCATTTTATAGCATATAACATAATATTACAAATAGATCTTACAGACAAGACAAGCTCTTCTGAGGGAAAAACTGGCTTAGGAAATAAAACATGCATGCTTATAAATTCAAAGAATATAAGCTTGTTATTCATAATAATACTGCTAATATAATAACCTTGTTCGCACATGATTGATTTACAGTAGTTTTAACCTACTATGGAAGTTACCCAGTACTACAGAAGAAAGAAAAGTATGTTTATTTCAAACAAGAAGAGTGCTTACTTTCATGCTGAAGTTTAGATTATGGTTTGTTTTGTTTTGTTTTGTTTTGTTTTGTTTTTCCCAAGGACTACTTTTAATCTGAGACAGATCCTTCTCCTCAAAATGGTTTATTAAACTGAAGGATGTGTCTTAACAATCCCATTATTCTTTCCCCAGCGTTCAGTTTGCTCATGCACAGGGCTGCACTCATTCTTAGCGGACATGTCATCTCCTGGAGACTTGCAAGAGTTTGAGCAATTGCTTTTAATTTAGAAGCAGCAGAAACTTCTTCTATCCTTTACACTCTGTAAAGCTCCCAGGGAATGATTACCGCCAAGGATTTCTTTTAATATCACCTTACTTAGGACAAAGAAATTAAAGAGAAGAACACAAAAGGGGTCAGAAGCCCTCTAAAGGAAACATGTGCTTACGTTATTTCCCAGAAGAACGGCAGTGACTGCAGGTGTAAATTCACTGAAGAAAACTTACCACAAGCCAGGCTGAATCCACA